TTGTATGGTATTTAAGATAGCACCGCTAAGCTAGTACTCAGTTGACAAGTTGGTAATCTTGACTGACCGCACCTAAGCCGTCTTTAGTATAAAGAGCAAGGAAATGGGTCTGGTCGAGGGTATAAAGCCCAGGCCAGTGGGAACCGGCAGCACCCGTGATAGTAGTTGGGCCCCATGTTGAACCTCCGTTTGTACTAGTAACGACTTTCATCTGAGCTCCATCAATGCCGTTGCCACCGCCTCCGGCCACGTCCTCATTTGTCATAAAGCTTGTAACAAGGGTGCCACCGACATTGACAACTTGAGGAGCGCCGGCATTCTTTCCGTTCTTAGCTGTATACAAGCGTGCCCGCTGTCCCCAAGAGTTGCCGTCGTCGTGAGATAGAACATAGTCAATGGAAAAGGGGCCAGACTCCGTATTCTCAAAAACAGCACTAAATTTGGGTAACATGGTTAGTTCAAGGTCGGATTGACATTCCCAGATGGTGGTAAACAGCTTACATCAAGTTGCCTGAATTATCAAGATTGGCGACGCCAATCATTCCATCGCGCGACGTGATATTATCTCCAGATACCTTGATCCAGTTTGACCAAGTTAACCCTCCATCAGTTGAACGCTTCATATAGCCGTCCTGGTCTGCCCCATTGTTCTCAGCGGAATAGTAACATTGCAGCGATCCGTCCCTGGCGACACGTAGGAAAGGTTCCCAGAGGCCGTTGGGGGTGTTTGGAGTAGCTGCTTGTTGCTCCACGGTTGATGCATAGAGAAAGGTCTTGCCACCGTCATCGGAATAGGACAGAGTTATCCGGTAGTATGTGTAAGTGTTTCCGGTGCGATCATGGTTGCGGTAGGCATATACAATACGTCCACTAGGAAGCTGCAAAGGCATAGCGTTGTCAACATCATAAGCAGTTGAATTAGCACGGTAGACTTCGCCAACAAAGCTCCATGAAGAACCGCCATTGGTAGACTCAGCAAGTCGAAGAATACTCTGGCCGTTTTCATGCGCAGTATAACCAGCTATCAGGCCTCCGGTGTTAAGAGGGCTTGCTCGAATATATATGCCATTTGTATCAATAACAACAGGTGAGCCAGCCTGAGCCACGTTTCCGGGTGATCTTTGCTCAATGCTGACAGGGTTACCGAAAACCCCGACAGGAATGAGCAAAGCAGAAAATAGTTTATGGAGAAACATGACTGCCGAGTAAGTAATTGGATAGCAGGGTACTAGTGATACTATAGCTATAGAAAAAAAAAAAGAAATGCAGCTGTTATTTATAATTCATGGCGATACATATCTAAAGCAAGGCAGAGAATCAAGTCATGGGTGCCTCCATGATGTAAATCTGCAGCCTGTTTCAACCAGGCCCCAGCTTCCTTTCCTAGTATAGCCTAGTGACTATCCCCGCTAAAGGATGCTCACTTGTGCTCCTTCCAATACCCCGGGTGTACTTTATAGGAAATTCCGAGGGCTTCTTAACTGGCTATTTAATAATGAGAAGCATACTTTTTCTCCTAAAACATCGCAGATGTTATTGTTTCTGAAATCAACCGGTATCACGATTCTCGGACCGAATATTGCATCTTGGCCTGCTAGTTTAGGGTTCAGAGCAAAGGGGACGGATGTAATACCCTGAATCATCTTCGCGAACTCTTGCCTCTAGCAGCTGGAAGATAAATTCTACTTCAAGACCGTCACCATCTAGAATGCGTTTATAGCTAAGTAAGCGGCGGCATAAAATAGCAGAGTGCAGAGCTAAAGTGAGAACCTCTATACTATTGAGTTTTCCAACCATGATTAATATGTTGTCGTAGTCAACCTGTCTGGGATCGTCTAACCTTGTGTGGCTGTTGACAAAAAGGGGGTTTTGTGGAAACCGCAAAATTTACCTACAGGCGCTAGACTTCCTTCGGCTCCTAAGTTTGCAGTCCTTGCTCTCTTCTCTGCTGAGTGCAGAGTAGACATGACATAAGATGCTCTATAACAGAGAAGCACTACTACTACTATTAGTTTTCGTATGGAAACGCGACCCGCTTTGTGGATGAGCGTATATGCAGCACCCTTGGCAAAAAAAAGCGTATATGCACGGGCCCCTTGGCGTCGAGGCTTTGTTGACGCGGCCCAATCAAGTGCAGACATGCTGTTTCAAGCTGACTTGGCTTTGTTCTAACTCTGTTTTCGGAGAATTTTCTGGTTATAAAAAGGCCTACATAGGGAACGCAAGGCCAAAATGGTTGAAGCGTTTACTTCGCTTTTGTTATATAGTGTTTTCGCCAATGCTTGGAATCCCATCCTTGCGATGGCCACCGGCAGTTTTGACGATCGCAGGTGGACCTTTGAGTTTATGTAGCAACTGGAAGCGGGGACTATCCTACAAGAACGATAAACCGCGGCCGGTACTAGTATCTTAGATTTAGCCCTGCGGCGGACCCACGGGTGCTCCTGGCGCAAGAGTCCACCATGTAGCAAAATCGTTGTCTTACGTGTCAGGTCAGGTGTATGCTCAGCTGGAAAAGTATCTATCTGCATGCCCGTCAAGGTTAGTGGGTTGCACACATTCTCCCAAGTCTTGCCTAACTCAGGATCGTCTCAGAAAGCAAATCAGTCCTCTGCCGACTCCTGAACGCGGACAACTTCGTCTAGAGCAAAAGCTTGTTATTTGTTGCCCAGCTACACCACTTTCTCTCACATCAAACCTCTCGAGAATCTATTGCTCTCTTTTTAAACCAGAAATAACTTCTTTGGCAAGGATCCAATACATGTCAATACGAGATATACACGACTCATTGTTCCCACCATGGTATTATGCTTGTACCTATACTGGTATAGTTGATAGCCAAAATCAGTGCAGCCACCAATTTCGAAGATCGAACAATACATCAACCGGCAATTAACGTTACAGCCGGCTGAACTAACTTCTCTGAGGAGAGTAGCAATGAATATTTGATATTATAAGCGCAAGTCTTGACGACTCTACTCTCATCGTGTTGTGAGTTTTCGTTGGGTGACAAACTTTTTTTCAAGGATATGTAAGTTTGTCATTAGAGAATGGATACCATAGATACCAAAGTGGTTGAGGGTTAAAGAAAGTTGTGAAATAGCAAATGTATCATCTTCCAAACACACACGCAAACATTGAAAAAAGAAGGAAAAAAAGAAAACAAAACTACCAGGGTTAATTTTCAGTTTCCACGATGCAAATAATTGCGGACATGGCTACCGAAATTATCTGACACTTTCAGACTGGTACCCCGAAAAAGCAGGTTCTGTAAGACACTCATGCGCTTTTGGTTGCAAACGTGCGTATCTCAAAATCTGGACCAGTATTATTCATGTGTTTCATATGTAGAAGAGCCTAGAATCCCGGTAATTGGGATTGAAGCCCTTTTAGGAAAGAGGACTATTATTTGCCGATTCTCTTTGAGCGATCTGTTCACGTGGTCTGATACGCTGTTTATACCCTTGGGATACGTGGATTGAGAGCGAAAGGATATTCCAATTCTTTTCCTTATCTTTTACTTCTGTAAAAGTTTTACGAGTGAACTCATTATTCAGCATAAGTGGTATTGCTTCGTTGACCCTTTTTGTTGGATGGCGGCTTAAGTCAGAAGATCCGCCAATGGAATCCAAGTTAGTAGCAGCATAATAGCGGATATACTCAGTAATGCTTCAAGATGTAATTGAAAGCAAGTGAGGCATATCTTCCCACGAGGCTTGGAATATTGAAAGAGTTATTACGCACTTCCAGTGCCCACATAATGGTAGCAGTATGATTACTAGATATTCAATCCTAAAGACGCGGTAGTCCATAGATGAGTTTACGCCAGTTTCAATTAGACGCTAACAGTCCTGACGTGGCCTTTTGCTGTAGCTCGTTGCCAATTTTACATTGGTTTGATATACACACAGGCTGTCCCACTAAGTACAATAATGGCCCGCGAGCAATGCAGATTGCGTCCTTGGTAGTAGCTATATCATGCATTCGCTGAGATGTCTTGAAGGTACTGCTTACTATCAGTTGATTGGAGATAGTTCGATAAATGAGAGCTGCAGTCTGTGGCCTCGCTTAGCCGATCCTGCCGCAGGGCCCGAGATCGATGTTTGTCTCTGCCCTTTTGCCGAAAGAGAGGAATAGAGGAACAACAACTCGCCGTCAACTTAGCGAATGTGTTCAATCAGCTTTATAGTAAAAATAGGTCACCCAGATTCCTGGATATCCATGGCCCTAAACAGTATATGGCCACAGGAACTCTGCATCCACGTTTGACAAATGCAATTTGCTTATAGTATAAAGTGGAGCTGACCAAGGTCAGTTTCTTAGATCGGAATACGCCGCCAAACATAACCCTGACCTCGATGTTTCCTATATCATTTGAGCCAATAGCGATGTGTCACAGACCGCCATTCGCAATGCGAAACGAGGTGATATCCACCTGATTACGGCTTCTTCAAAGGCCTGAACATTCCTTGATCGAAGCGGTATCGTGGCCTAGTTGTGTTTAATGAAGGCGGAGCTGAGAGGGTGTGGCAGATACCATGAATAGCAGCGGCGATTATGGTCAGCTCAGATTCGGTGCCCTTCCGTCCTGGCTGAAAGTTTGAAGTCTGTTCCAAGCCCATGCTTCGCGTAGCAACTGTTAGGGTTAGTTCAAATAATTGTGCACTTAACATTAGCGAGCATATTGAAAAAGATCTCCACGAGAAAGAATAGCCTGTCCTTCATGCTGTATTATGCAGCACTTAATGAAACAAAATACTACTACTTCAACATGTCAATAGTTAGTCAGAAATTGTAGTAGTACCCATTAGAAATGGAAGATGAAAATATGGATCATCTATAGTAAGACGAAAGAACAAAAATCTAGCACAGAGTGCGATAATAAAATATTAGTAAACAGTAGCTAAGCTCTAACAACCGTACATACCGTCGAGGTTCCTTCCAACAGTATTTCCTCTCAAGAGGTTTACACTTGAGGACAACCCGCCGCCTCATATCCATTATCCATTCCACGCTGCTACTCGTTCCGTCCCTAGGGTGACCATCAGGACTACTTTTGCAAAGCTGTCGACATTATCCGGTCCACCCTCTGTAAGCAGCCTATCTAGCTCTGTGATTTTCGTCAGTCCCGCGCCAGGTTCTGAGCGAATCTCGTCCCACGCCGATGCTGACTGAGCCTCCCAAACACCCTGTCTTGTCGTAAACATCATCCCCCCTTGACACGACTTGGTGAACCCTTGCTGCATATATAAATAGAGGCCCTGAACCCCGGATGCAATGATCCAAGTACGCCTGATGCTCTCCGAGAGTATCCAAGAGTACCATAGGGCGTTTTGAGAGTCGCGCATGTCAGACTCTGTGTTCACATCAGCAGAGACTAAGATAGAGCCCGAACATGACGTGCGATAGGCATCCTCAACTAGTTCGTTCATCCATCTCTTTAGTAGCTCTATTCGCTTTTCTGCCAAGTAACGCAATCGGATGTTTCCATCGAAAAGGCCGACTACTTGGTATATCAAGAGACTCTGAACCTTGGCCAGTTTTTCTAGGAGATCAATAGCCGGCCTGCTATCGTCAAAGGGGGAGTGTGGTTGCGGTATATCGATTTGGGTTACTAGATCCCAACACTTTTCTTCCAACAAGTGCATGACAATGCTGTTATTGCTTCCGGTCTTGTTGAGGTAGCACGTCAACGCTGAGTAGGCATCTTGGGCACACTTTGGAAACCTATCCCGATACAATCGCGCATGTACGAATGGGTTGCTTCCTTTTCTTACCCATTCTGAGAGCCACTCGTTCAGAATGGAAAGGAAAGGCTGCAGGTATCCCTGGTTGAAGAGACCGACGTCGGGCTGCCTGGGGAGATGGGAAACCCAGGTTTCGTAAGCGGTAAATGAACTACTTGGATGGCTTTCATCTACCAAATGGAGCGTCCAATCGGCAAAGTCTAGGGCAGGAGTTATTCCAAGAACACCGCCGGGTGTAGCGGGGGAGACATATTGCAGCTGTGAAGAGGCACCCGTGGAACTGCCTGAGATACCGTCGTCGATTTCCGCGGTAGCATCCCAGCCAATCATGACATAAGAGCCGGGCTTGGCGGCTGGATAGATGCACTCAAGGTCAAGTCGTCCGCATCTCAAGCAACTAGGCGACTGTTTTGAGCATTTCCGCTTGGCCTTTGCGCAGGCGTGACAGGCGTTACTCCGCACCCCCGCCATGGTATTTGCGTCCCCGGGGCACGAAACGGGCTGCGAGGCACGGCATAGACTTTGCGCAGAAATCTGGTTGGATCAATCCTTCTAGTACACTTGATTCAAAGAGAGAAGGTTGTCAGAGGTAGATAGGCAGTGTCAAGTTCCACAGAGTGGGATTGGCCGCAGTCCCGCAGTCTATTTGCGGAGATATCAGTTATTAATCAGCTGCGGCGAACAATCTAGACTTGTAATTGCGGGAGCTAATCAAGTTGGGTTAGTTCCCGCCCAATCAGCGTTGAACAGAGCCTCTACATGCAACGCCGACCAAGCAAAGGTGTATCATGAATTATAGTAACATGTCTAATAGATGGCCGCTCGGCTGATAATTAACGTAGCTGAAGTATATAAATGCCAATACCTCTTGATCGTCTATTCACAGATGCAAGTCAGCAACCTACTCTTTAAACTTGTTCCTTGTTCCCAGTCCTCGGCTACAATACCTATAAGATGGATAATTTGATGGAAATGTTCGCACAACTTCGCGACACCAACGTCACAAAGACAATTCATCGTCAGCCGTATGCTGCCATTTCTCCAAAGAGGCCTGAGCTCAGCCAAGCCGGGAAAGTTGTCCTCATTCCCGGAGGCGGCACAGGCGTTGGCTATGGCATCGCGCGTAGCTTTGTACAAGCTTCTGCAGATACCGTCATCCTTATTGGTCGTCGTGTCAAAATCTTAGAGGAAGCTGCCGCCAAGCTGGAGGAGGAGGCCAGGAAGTCCAATACCAACACCAAGATCATCCAACAGGCTTGCGATATGACTAATCTCGATGAAACGAAGGCATTTTGGGATTTTCTCACTAAGAACGGCGTAACCGTCGATGTCCTTGTCGCAAATGTTGCAAAGTTTTCGGAGCCTAAACCAATTCTTGAGCTCGGTTCAGACGAGGTCTGGTCTCAGTTGGAAGTCAACGTCAAATCCCATTTGTATTTTACGGAGCAATTTTACTCCCAATCCAATGGGAAGAAAAAGGTGAGCAAAAGCTTTTCATCCTTAACTTGTCTAGCGCGGGAATAAAAGAACTTGTACGTAAAGCTAATGGGCTGCCTCTAGTATCTCATCAACGTGTCTTCTCAGGTAATCCACATGACAGCCCATGCTGGGGTTGCCCAGCGTCCGGCCTATACGTTGTCAAAGATGGCTGCAACGCTACTTTTCCAAGTTATCGCTCAGAATACCCCTGTTACAGATTTGCAAGTTATTAGCTTCCATCCAGGACTCGTTTATAACGATGCTTGGAGTTCATTGGGATTAACGCCAGATTTGTTCGATAGTGGTCAGTCTCTCTTTCATATGGCTCAATATTTCAGTCGAGTTATTCAACTAATGGTTGTTCTCGTTCTATGTAGATGAAATCTGCGGTGGATTTGCGGTCTGGGCAGCTACCGAGCAGGCGCAGTTCCTTCACGGCAGATTCGTATGGTCGTCATGGGACGTGGATGAATTGGCGAAGGGTGAGGTTCGGAAGCGGATTGATGAAGACCCTTACTTCTTGAGGAGTTCCATCGTTGGCCTGAATGGGGCCTTTTTAATGTAATTTTCGGTCCTTATCACGAGACTGTAAACATTATATGATGTTTCGCTCGTCAGCATCTCCTGGGTAGCTGAAAAATTTTCTACGGCACAAACATGTTTCTTCTTTCAAGAATTATGATTCAAAATGTTTATGTACCCACCTGTCTGTGAGGTAAAAGATTGCCCTAATCAATCCTTTTAGGAGTCTCATAATCAGTTTTCAAAGAACACTCCTCATGTCAGGTAGAACTGCAGACAGAATTATTTTCACTTCTGCTTCTTATACATCGTCTTCTTTGCTCTGTTGGAAGGCGCTCTCAGTGATACATCTCATACCTTTGTTGGACTATGGATTCGGTTTTAAGAGCAGTTTTCCGTGTGTGCCATTCAGCAGTCAATAGATGCAGGGCTGTGAAGCCTAACGCTAGATAATCATCATGGGTTACTCCTTAATTTGCTTATGGAATTGTGGCATGGTTCAGTATCCCAGCCTTCCCAAAAGATGCTACATTTCCTCATCAAAAACAAGTGAGCCATACTTTTGTTCATTTACTCTGCAACCGGAGAAAGAAATGCTTCACCTCGAGGCAATTAAGTGGCGGAGAGTCTTCAGCAGCTGGAAGATCCGGTCTTCTACTCTCGTCTCCTTCTGGGCCGTTATGGGCGCTGCCTCTGTCTCATCGCTCGACCAACCATCCTTGCTCGGCTTGGCTGGAGTAGTTGCAAGCTTAATGCATCAGTAAAACCATTTAGATGATTAGTACCTTCATCACCCTTTCTGTTTCCTGTTTCTGGTATATCTCTCCCCACCGTAACTGTTGGTGCTTATTAGCGCCATCGTCACTCTCATTAGCTAATGTATCTTGTATATCTAGGCCCAATCCTAGCAGTTTGCTACTTCGCATTCGTTTTCGGTTCATTCATGCAGTCTGCTTTCCTTTTAGGTGGCTTAACAGCAGCCTGCGGAGTCATCCACGGCAGCCCATTACGTGTGCTATTCAGGGGGATTTAGGCAGCTATGCGAGGTTTGTTGTGACCAATTCATTACGAAGAAGGAGCCAAAATACCCCATGAGTATTCACCGGTGTTGGGTTCGCGACTCTTACGATCCCGAGCGGTATTTGGGTGGCATACGTAATGCTTGGGGCAATAGCCAAATCAAGGATGATCGTGAGAGAAGAGAAATCAGACACAAAAACATGTGTAGATACTATCTGCCGTAGCCTGCCTTACATAGAAAATACCACGCTCGGGCCACAATATTCCATTATCTCTTGCAAAATACTTAGGTTCCTACTGCAGGCTACTTGCTACATGGATACTCTACTCTTGATTGCGGTAGTTGTATGATGGAATACGTGCGTAGGTATTTCTAGCCCGAAGTCCCTTTGTTATTTGTCTTCAAGAAATCACCAACATCAACGATAACATTTTAATGAGACTACAAATCATTGGTTTTGCTATTAGCGCTAAAAGACCAGGTGTGTGCAGGAGTCTGGAGATAAAAACGTTGATTTCTGTCGGGTTGGGTAGCATGACGATCAAGTATATTAAGCAGCAGACTAACTAGAAACTACCTTAGTTTTAGAGGCTGAAATGAAAGATACCGATCGAGGCCAAAACAAAAACAATAATGTAAATCAACCTGTACGCGTTATTATATGTAGCTTGGAGTTCAAATCTGTTGCCGCTGGATTATTCGAGAATGACAAGGAGAATAAATTACATTCTCCTTTGCCAAAGCCTTGGCTGCATTGTTTGTACGATCGGTGAGGCTTGGGAAATCGGTGGCGGCGACCTAGGGCAAGAGAGGTTAGTCACAATCAAAAAAACGTGTCATCCTCACCCCCCTGGCAAAACACATGGGCAAACTTTACCTGATATAGAATAGGTTTCAGCGGCAATATGGAACTCGGCATTTCAAGTACGGAAGATAGAACAAATTATTGCCGCGGAAGCTAAAGCAACGGCAAAGCTTCCTTCCGTCGTCGTAGAATCACTAAAGGAGCAACTGGCTCTTATCTTTTCTATTTTGCGCTTTTCTTTTTCCGGGTAGACTAAGTAATCGATTTAGGACAAGAGCTATATACGGCTGCTTTAATTCATCTTGGTATTCTATTTTCTTGCTGCGCTTTATTTGCAAATTCACGTGCTTGGGTCCAAGAGTAGAAGACTGGAACTAGCAACAGCGTTGTATGCGGGGGATTCCAGGGCCTGTTCCAAGCTAACATTTGCGATCCTCCTGGCATGCGGCTTGCTGGTGAAGGATTTAATTTGCTTCGGAGTGCTCCATCCACGACAGCAGCTAAGATCCTAAAGACGCACATTCGGTTAGCAGATAATGCAAAGCAATAAAGATAATGTACCTTGCTTTACAGCGACCTGGTAGGCCAATCATGCATCTCGCGACTGCCGGTCTGCTGACAATGTCCTAATCCCGAGGCTGTGTTGAGAAGAAATCGTAATACTACTCTACAGCAGGGATTTTCCTGGTCCTGATCTTGAGCTATTCTTGCAACTTTAGCCTTTGTATACAATAATTGCAAGGGCTATTCGGCCCTCTTGGAGACAGAGGATTTCAGCAAGTGTTGTATAAGACCCAACAAGTTTGCTAGTCCAGTGGTTATCGCAGGATGAAAAGCAGCGATGCAAAAATATAGATGATAAGAATGCTCTAGATGTTTATTCATAATACTCATAGACTATATAGACTGTGACTTGAAAGAACAAAATACATCTTTTGCCTTTTACAACCGTTTCTTGTTCCTCGGAAGTAAACAAAGGCTATATTGCCGGTAAAGTAGTGTCGGAGCTAGCTGCCAAAGGAATGCGGCACTTGACAGGGGGCTAATACTAGTTGCATTCTACTGGAGCGAACCTTCCTTTATCGACCTATATGATAAGTGCTGCCTTGACTAAATTACGCCACGTTTTTTGCAAACCATTGCCCTGACTAAAAAAGGGGAGATCGGCTAGACCGGAACTTCAACCTGGTTGTGTATTGAGGGATTTTTTTGTGCAGCTGGCTTTGTATAGCGAGATATAACTGAGTAAACATAGGTACTTAGTGAAAGACTGGTTCTTCCTATAGCATTTATAGCTTATATTTTTATTATTTAATATTAATAATAAAAAATGCTATAACTAATTATTTACTTTGAACTATAATTGAATTAATTACTTAATACAATATAAGTGACTATAATATATAGTTTGTATTAAACTATAAAAATAATATCTTAAGTTATTTTCTTTAGATATATATATATATCTATATTAAAATATAGCAAAAAATTATTTCTTTTATAATTATTATATTTACTATACTGAATTTATACTTTGTTATATACTAGTATATTCTAAAATCCAAATATTTTATTCTTATACTTGTTAATACAAGTCACGTGAATTTCAAGCTATTTTCTTTTTGCTCTAGTACTACAAGCACTATAACGTGTGAAATAGTTATTTCACAAGCTCTTTTTGCAACCAAAGTTTGGCACAACCTGTGTAGCATCATCAACAACAGGTAAAGACTGAATTTCAGACAATCGCCATTTCGCAAGTGCATTACAACAATTCATTGTGCCATTCTACCAAACAACGCAAAGCACTACACCAATAGACCATTATAGCAACTACTGCAACAGAGCCAGCTGCCTATAAGGGACCAACCTGCTTCAAAGGATCAGGCTGTAACAACATGGTTGCTTATAATATTCCGATCTTCAATATTTCATTGTCATTTAGCGCTTATATTCTACTGCATATATCAGCTGGCAGTTTATTAATTGTATCTTAGTGCTTATATTTTCTGCGCATACACGAGCTTATGGCCTACCAAAGTCATTGTATAATAGTATAAAGACAGCATTCTTAGTTGTAGCTTTTGCTGCAGACTCAACAGTTGTGTTAACTTTTTGCATCGAGCTCATCCATTTCTTAAAATTTCTTGTTCGTTATTCAGCTGTTTTTGTCAGTGTGCTGTATTTTGAACTGCTGTTGCTTTTGATCTGTAATTCTGCGGTCAAGATGGGTGGCGATTTCAATACCAGAGCTCCCTGGAAACGTTCTGCATGTGATCGCTGTCGATTTCAAAAGCTGCGATGCTATCGGGATGAAGGTCGATCTTCGGGCTCATGCAATCGTTGTATAAAATCCGGAATCAAGTGTGTCACCGGCATGACTCGTCCAACAGGCCGTCCACCAGCACGGCAGCCAACCATAGTCGATCCCAACGAACTTTTAACGCCACCAAAGACGAGTGATGCGTCTCCTGCAGACAGCAACATCAATAGAACGGACATGGAGATCGTCAATCTAGAATTCGACTTTTCTCTTGACAGTGTTTTGGACAGAATTGGCATTCATCAAACGGACCTCACCTTGACCAACGACCTAGATGACATTTGCTCATTTTCTCCTCCCCTAACAAACCTGCCGAGTACTCCTCCTACCTCTGAGATCCAACAGCATGCTCAAGCAGATCTCGATTCATCAGCCCAGCCTACTGGCCCCCTTTACCATTTTAACAATTACCTCCTAATGCCGAAGGCAGGCGCCACGGATCTTGGAGTGTCGGGTTACAACATCGACTGTGTTGAGATCCTACTGTCTAAACTGCACTTGGAGCTCTGCAATCAACTATTCTACGTCCAAACAGCATCATGGGATGTCCAGGACGCCCTTAGGTTTACCATGTCTCAAGAAAGCAGCGGCGGCCATGATGGAGAAGTCGGCAAGGAACACCCCTTAGTTTCGGTTGCCAAGGCATCCAGAGAACTAGAGAGACTCCTGGCCAGCCTTTATCCGTCATCAGGGGCGGCCGAGTACACTTCGCTGGCAATGTCCTACCATACTGGGCCACCGCCTCTGTGCACGACCCAACTCCTCGTGGCATTATCCTGCTACCTCCAAATTGTCTCCATAAACGACTGCATCTTCACTGCTGTGATTGAATATTTGGCTAGTGGTGGGTCCACAACCCCTTTGATGCCTTTATTGTCATCTCATAACCAAACATCGCCACCCACATTGTACCTGGGCGGCTTACCGATTCTGCCTAATTGGAAACTCTGCGGAACCCTGCTGGTGCATCAAATAGAGTACCAGCTGGAGCGAATTGAGACATTGTTTGGCCTTCCGGAGCACTACCGCGTTTCGACAAAGCCCGGAGATGACGGCAAGGATGTGGTCGCTGGGCTGTTTGCAGGACAGCAAAGCCAATCTCTTCTCAATGCTGTCTTTCGCCCCGGGGAAGATCACACGCGATGCGTCCGTTCGCTAAAATCGAAGATGCGACAGATGAAAGACTTGTAGATGTATTTCATCTGCAAGTTACCCTTGGCTGGGCATCTGAAAGAAGCAGGAGACTCGTGAGGTTAACATCAAACACTATGGAATTTCATGGAGTTTTGTAAAATAACATGGATTTTTGTATAGGCCATTCTACAGGCTACATTCTTTCCGTCTTGATGACATACTGGATCTGCATTTTGTATACTTTTCCTATCTCTAGAACCTCTATACTAGCGCCATAACACATATCGCAGGAGAGTTAATAAATCTAAATCTATCGCAACAACTAAACAGTCTCTACAACTACCCCTGGCTTGCCACCTATCGTGGCGTCTTGCCCACGACGCATCAACTCCAACATCCTTGCCGCTTCAGAGGCATATTTGCATTTGGAGCGTATTTTCGGGCCGTACTTATAGAACAGGAACGGAATTGGCACGCATCCAAGCGCCAGGAACGCAGGAACAGAGCTCGCCCACTGATCTCCGAGATTCGCATACATTTGTGTGGTAAATAGTGGAAATGCAGTGCCGAAGAAGGATCGAAGCATCGACCCAGCCGCCAGCACAGAGGCAGTATAGATGGTATCTATATAGAGGTGAGCATGTGTGCTATTTAGCGAGATTGCGAAGCGAGGGCCAAAACTTACAGCAGTCAATCAGGTAGCTAATCTGCGAGATGAAGTTTAGAACAAGTCCACATGAGAATAGCAAGGCGCCGATAACGGGTGCGATCCAGTGCACTGAAGGATAAGTCGTCCACGCAAACAAAAACAGGCCAATCGGAAGAATGACAGAGCCCACCATGGACGTGCTCAGTCTAGCTTCTGGTTCAACTGTGGCTCCCTTTGCCTCCGTTTCCTCGCATAGACGAACGTAGCGTTTATTGTCCACACCTGACAGCGCCGTAGCAAGACAGACGCCGATAGTGACGCCGACAAACGGAAGACCGGCTAGTCCCTCGTTCCAGCCTCGAGTGCCTTGGAAAACGGTGGGAATTGCGGCAAAGAACATGTATAGCGTGCCGTACACGATAGACATGTGCAGAGACATCAACAAAATGATGGGTTCGAGAAACAGAAGAACCCAGGGGCGTGAGAGAGCGACTGAGAGCTCCTGTGTGAGTGTTTTGGGCGGCTCTCCTGCGTCGAGTCGTGATACATAAACGTTTCCCGTCGACTGAGAGAGAGCCTTTGCTCTAGATCGTAAGATATACGGCGCATATGTTTCGGGAGTGGCTATCGTAGTGGCAATCCAGACCACACCGGCCATGATAGCAACTAAACCGAGAACCCAGCGCCAGCCCTTATTCTCGTCTAAGAAACCACCAACGATGGGACCTAAATCAATACGAATCAACAATCAGCAGGTATCCCATATAAAGCAAAATGGTAGCATGGAAGAAGAGCAAGGATATCGATCACCTACCAAGTGCCGGACCCAGAAAAGGAGCCGTGACAAAAGCTCCCATCGCCGCTCCGCGCTGTTCTTTTGTCAACATGTCGGTAATGACGCCTCCGCCGTTCGTCATCGACGATGAGCCGAATGCACAACCAAAGAAGCGGAAAAGCAATAAGGCCTGAATGTTGGGTGACACCGGGGCCGCCACGCTGAACGCTGTGAACGCCATAAATGAGATTATATAGATGGGTCTCCGCCCGTACAACTCGGACAGAGGCCCCCATATGAGCGGTCCCAAAGCAAACCCCAATACGTAGAGTGCCAAACCTAGTGTGGCCACCTCCTCGGACACGTCAAAATGCCTCTTGATATCAAAGATGCTGCTAGCGTATATAGAGCTGGCAAAGGTAACCACCAACGCGGACATGGCCTGGAGGACGGTTATAGTCCATTTTCGAGCCATAGACATATTCAGAGGATCCTGGGAGTCGTTCTGCAGATAGTCGATGACGTAAGGTTCGGCAGCTGTACCCTTGCCGGAGTATTGATGATTTCGGACATCCTCGTCAAGGCGCGTGCTGAAGAAATCAGACAGGATGCCGGATCGGCTTTGGGGGGGGTCATCGACTCGCTGGGTGTCGTCGGAAGAGGAAACAGAAGGCTCAGGAGCAGCGGCCATGATGAGAACGACAAGAGGGACAAGAAAACCAGTGTTGAAGTCCAAGATGCAGATGGAGATGGACTCACGAAGTTCTATACGTTGCTATTGCGATTCATATATATATCATGTTGCAAACATTTGAATTCTTGATATCGGAGTTTTAGTTACACAAAAGCCCGCGGCAATCGTCTACGGAAATATGAAGCCTATACTTGACTTCGGAAATTTGGATTCGGACTTTTCGTGGCATGAAAGCCCGCGGCAACTACATGTACCTCTTTACGGAACTTGGAAGTAAGCATACCCCGTTATGACCCCATTTTCGACTCAGCCCCGCAAAGTGGGACGATGCTCCCGAAATAAGATGGGCCAATACAATACCTGCAGGTAGGTGCAGCTACCATTAGAATACTACCCTACATTACCAGCAAATGCCACATTCTTCGCACTTGACCTCATAAATCTCTCATAAGAGGGCATCATAGGAGAGCAAATTGTCTTTTGCATTACGCTATATTCACAATAAAGAAGTGTCTGGCAACAACTTCCTGGCCTCGTTACGACACACAAGTCAGTAAAAGCCATCAGGTAAAACCACACAACGAAATGCTCACACAACCGAATATTGTAAACAATGAAACAGTGTATCAGAAGTGAGAAGGAAATAAACTCGTTTGCGGTAGACCGAAATGTGGACCGGATACTGTCGCTGCTATCTTGGAAATTGATTCTTTTGTTCTATCAAAAAAGGCTTGGCGTCTATCTAACGGAAGCCTGGTAGGCTACATAAGAGAAGCAGCTGTCTCAACAATCAATTCAGCAAAATGCACCAGTTCATCCGGGAATCGGGGAAAGTGGTGGCCGCCACGGTGTAACATCTTTTTGGCGGTCGTGGGATCAAACAGCTCAGATACTGAGTCATCAACAAAGAAATAATCGTCTTTGACACCTCGTACATGGACGGAGGGTACCGTCAGCTTGTCTGACACGTCTTGGGGCCGATATTTGAGCAAGAGATTGACTGGAAAGGGGCCCTCGTCTTGCACTCTTTTGCTCTGGAGCACTTGGTAGTCATATATGGCGCGTTCATCCTGTTTCCAGTCGATGTCTTCTTTGCCCAACGAGGCGTCGAACTCTCCGGGTTGGTAAGTTGCCTGCAACTGACCTTTTCCCACCTTCTCCCATGTGATCGACCCGGAATCGAGACGGTACGGGAGAAAGGTTGAGTTGTAAATGATCATTTTGAAAGGCCAATCCTGAGTACCGGGATTCGCTCTCTGGTGCTCTAGCAGCAGCAGGGTGGCCATGGCAGCGCCCTGGGAAAAGCCCCATAGACCGTCAAAAGGCCCTTCGGAGTCGATAAATGAGACAAGGCGGTCTAAGGCATTCTGGATGTCCTCAGAGAGTGGATAATTCCACCAACAGGAGTTTGGTAAGGGAACTTGATCTAAGTTGGCTGCGGATGGTGAAGTCAGCTCGTGTCTAGAGGAGGGGAAGAATGAGCGTTTGGAGACGAAGTACGTAATACTAGCTGGGATGGTTCCATTCCTGCTTCAAAATACTCGTATTCCCAGTTGCTAGGAAGATGCTCTGTGATTTCTTCCATCATCTCCTTGAGAACATCAGCGTTTTGGGCGTAGCCGTGGAGGCAAAGAAACCGCATCTTGGCTGGATTGGATTAGATATTGTGAATGGATACTGTATTTCCAATGTATGTGTAAGGGTATTGATGGTAATCAAGAATTTGAGATCAAGATGGTACTAAAATTGCAAGTTTTTCTCAGGAGAAACAACTTCTTGATAAGAATTGCAATTGTCCCAACTGTTTTTGGGCTAAATTATGTGTTCGAGAGTGGGTGAAACAAATTCCGCTGAGTTAATCATAAATGAATAAATATAATAACAACAACAATAATAATGTTATTCTCTTTACTTGGATTAGAAAAAGTAACAACATATTGTGATTGAATTTGTTTATTTACAACAAGTTAACTTGGTCTAGTCTTACAGCCCTGCTCTTCATTGTTGTTGGGTGTCAGCTCCGGAAACCCTCCGATGCTGTATGGACATGGATGTCTGCATTCCACAATCCTTCATGTATCCTTCCTTTATCACATTCCCTGCAACCCCATACACACTTTTGGATCTAGGTCCGAGATTCTGGAAACCTGCTGCGAATTCGGAAGCCAGGCCGAGAAACACGTGGAATTCCATGTCCGATGCCGTCTTACTACCGGCTAAATGGAGCACTAAGTCCTACCAATGATAAAATGGTAATAGTAGTATTATTGCTATTTAGAAATAGCAGAGAAATTGTCGTTGTCCTTCAGACTTGGGCAGGCAGATACCACAGTGACACCACAGTGAACTCACAACATGATCAACACGCAGCAACGCGATCACCATGTTTCGAATTCGTGGCGGAAGAGAAAAGTCCAAGACATGGTTTGTAGTCAGAATTTGACTCCTCTAGCAGGTCAGCATAGTTGACTAACAAAGAGCAGCTTCGGAAGTGAGACAAAATGGACAATTGCCTGTATCTGAAAACAAATTCGCACACTGGATTCCAGGGCAGAAGGTCTACGTCCAGCGTTCCTTTACACTTGAATCTGGCGTGGAGATGCACAATGTCCCCGTGGCATACATGACATGGGGTACTCTCTCTCCACGCGCGGATAATGTCATTGTCGTCTGCCATGCTCTCTCGGGGAGTGCAGACGTCGGTGACTGGTGGAAGCCTCTTCTTGGCGCTGGACAGGCATTTGATACGGACCAGTTCTTTGTCATTTGCATGAATAGCCTAGGAAGCCCCTACGGAACAGCCAGCCCCGTGACAGCCAAGAATGGCGATCCTGCCGAGGGATGGTATGGTGCCGACTTTCCTTCGACCACCATTCGGGATGATGTGCGGTATGTTCAAATTTGAGATGCGCTGTGAAGAAAATAGAAACGCTGACAAGCACTGGGTTCCTAGTCTTCATCGGTCGCTGCTGAACGAGCTTGGGGTGCGCCGAGTAGCTGCCGTGGTAGGGGGCTCGATGGGTGGCATGCATGCGCTGGAATGGGCATACGAAGGCAAAGGCTATGTCTGCTGCATTGTAGCCATTGCGACCTGTGCCTACCAAGGGGCCTGGGCGATTGGTTGGGGCGAAACCCAGCGCCATGCCATCTACTACGACCCCAAATTCCACGGCGGCCGTTACAGCTTGGACGACCCCCCGGTAGGCGGGTTGGAGTCAGCTCGCATGGCCGCCTTGCTGACTTATCGCAGCCGAGACGCTCTAGAGCATCGCTTTAGTCGTCAAGGCTACGAGGGCAAAGAGAAGGGAGCCACAGCCAAGCATATGCACAAAACTCAGCCACCCAAGATTGCAACCCCCAGCTCCAGTCCCACCTTTGTTGTCCAGTCCTATCTCCGGTACCAGGCCAAAAAGTTCACCCATCGTTTTGACAGCAACTGCTACCTGGCTCTGACGCATAAACTCGACAGTCATGATGTGGCACGAGGTCGGGCTGACACGATAGCGGACGCACTCGCCCTAATTGAGCAGCCTACGCTAGTCCTCGGGATTAAGAGCGATGGCCTGTATACATACGCTGACCAGGAGGAGCTGGCCCGGTCGATTCCCAATGCTGCGCTGCGGGAGATTGTGAGTGAGGACGGTCACGACGCCTTTCTCATTGAGTCCCGTCAGATAAACGATATTCTGAAAGGGTTTTGGAACGATCATCTTCGAGATATAATATAGAAGCTGGATGGCGTTTGAGCCAGGCCAAAAGGGCCACTGCCGATTTTGGATGCATAGATTTCTAACTCCAGTTTATATATGTTTGTTATTATAAAAATTGTCGCATCTTAATCGCTTTCCTCCCACTGCGCGAAAGAAATATGTGAATGCTGTTTCTATAGTTATCTTGCTTAATTTAAGTTGATGGCTTTCAAAGATGGTCAATTTCGTTCACTGTAGAGCACTGAGATCTGTTTGGCGGAACGAGGTACCACGCAATCCGTGTTTTTTTTATAAGCACTACACATAAAGTCCCCGCTAGCCCATCTGTATAATGTTGACTACTGTATCATTATTGCCCTTAATAAGTCAGGGCCTTGTCAAGAGTAAAGATTTACTAAGCTAATTTCACTAATATTTTGGAATTTTGGTTGCTTTATAAGACTGCGAATAGGTATACGACGCTGACATGGCACAAGGAGCCATTTAAACGTGAGGTATACTGAAACATGCGAGATCCATCTTTGATCTATATCATACCGATTGAGCAATACCTTCTTATGCTGAAGAAGCAGTTTCTAATAAGCCTACGTAACAAAACATAATTATTCATCGCTGACTTTCAGCGCTGTCTTGCCGAAACTGCCACCTGTAAACATTGACAAGAATGCCTTCTCTGCCTGGTTGATCCCCTCAAATGTGGTGTATCTTGACTTGATCTTGCCCTCTGCTATTAATCTCGGCAACGTCATTGAGAAACTGATAACATGTTGGAAAATGTCCTTGTCATGGAACATGAATCCTTGGATCTTGATGCGGCGACGGAAGATCTCGGACGTGTTAGTGATACCGTAGCGCTCCTCGGGAGGCTTGTTGTATTGGGAGGCCTGTGAAAGATTGTTAGCAGATTTCATACACGCAAGATGTCTATAATATCGCGCATACCGTGCCACAGCTGATGATTCGGCCAAAGAACTTCATGTTCTCAATTGCTGCTTGCAAGTGGTCTCCTCCAACCATCTCATATACCACATCCAGCCCGTCCGGCGCCAGTCGCTTCAGCGCCGCATCAACAGGCTCTTTCCGGTAGTTGAAACCGAAATCGGCACCCAAATCGTCAACAACCCACTTCAGCTTCTCGTCCGAGCTCACGCTCGCAATTACCTTCATCCCCTCCATCTTGGCGAGCTGCACCACCACCTCGCCCACGGAGCTCGATGCTGCACTGACCCAGATGGTTTCTCCTGGACGGGGCTTGACATGACCGTAGAACGAGAGCCATGCGGTCATTCCCGCCAAGCCCAGAGTGCCAACGAAGTGCTTGAGGTCCAGGTTATAGTGGTTGGTCACCTTTCGCACGACGTTGGCGGCATACACCTTGAAGTTGAGGTAATCGAGATCTAAGACGCAATACTCCGAGATGGGCAGCATGCCAGAGATCAAGCAGCCTTCTTCCCACTCGGGGTTTTCTGTGCGGATGACCTTGCCAATGGAAAAGTTGGTGATCGGTTCTCCCTTCTCGTAAGGCGGAACATACGTCACGTTGCCGACTCCGCGCATGCGATCTCGCTGGTGGGGATCCATTCCGGCAACGAGAAGCTTGACAACCACACCACCGGGGGGCGCCACCAGCTGCAGAGGCCGATTCTCAATGGTGGTGGTCACGCCCGGTTCCAGCAGTGCGGTAGGCGGGCTTTGGTAGACCCATGTCGCATTTTGAACAGTTTCCGCCATGTCAGCTAGATGTGGACCGGAGCCTGTGGGCGATGAAACAGCCTCTGAGAGAGAGAGAGAATAAAAAAGAGAGTAATAATAGGAAGAGAGACACTGCTTTAATCAATCTGCGTTACATCTTCGATTCTCGCGATACGATCAACTAAATAGGTAGTGAATGCTCTGGATACCGCTATAGTAAAGGATATACGGAGCACCCTGGGCCCCCGTAAGCCTAAAGAGCATCTGCAAGACAAATCCGCTGGCTAAGCAATCGGAGCCTTTCGGGCGTTTATCCGAGTCGGAGGGTTCTACGTTTAGCGACCTCAGCAATATCGTTGATAGTGTTGGAGCAACGCGAATTTGTTTTTCAGGATTCAGACCAACCAACGCATGAGAAACCTCTAGGTGCATTGCTCGCATCCTAAAGTACAAGCGAGGGCGAGAGCGAGTCCCGGGAATCACAAAGTAAGCACAGAAGTGTAGCCTTACCACCTTCACAGATATAGGAATGGGTGCAAGGTAGTTAGCTCTTCATAGGTGCCTGCTGTGATCGTCGTGGTGGATTAACAAATTGCGTTGCGAGGTATGATACTGATGCCGCTTACATAGAGCGATCGTAGCACTGGGGAGCATACAGAGTTGACTCACATATGTTTTCCACTTGAAAATACGTGTATCTGGAACTCCAGATGCACACTGAAACCCCACACACTGCTGTAACTACGTTGCATAAGCTTAAATAGCACCACGTGGCGCTGGCTCGGCATCTGAACTGGATCTGGACCCTGATGGTCCACTTAACCCGTTTATATAATTGACAATTATTTACAAAGACATCTCTAGGACGAGGCCATTATTTAGTCAACGCTGCAAAGGGTCATTGTTCATTTGGGTACATTGTTCTCTCTCTGTATTCTTATAGTTGTATAGTCTTGGAATTTCCCGAAACCTCTTCACTGTCCATAAACCTCTTGGAATGCCTGCGCAAAATCGGCAATAATGTCATCAATGTGCTCGATTCCCACCGATATGCGGATCAAGTCTTCCGTTACACCTGAGACCTTCTTCTCCTCTGCCGACAGCTGCTCGTGCGTCGTTGACCACGGGTGGATAGCCAGGCTTTTGGCATCACCCACGTTCGCCACGTTAGACACCAATTTCAGGTTGTCTACTATCCTGCTTCCCTGCTCGGCGCTCCCTTTGACGCCGACGCTCAGCATTCCACCAAAGCCACGTTTCAGATACTTCTTGGCCGTTTCATGGCTGGGGTGTTTGTCCGAACCGGGCCACAGGATCCAGCTAACGTACTGTGGGTGGGCTTCGAAGTACGCCGCGAGCTTGGTTGCGTTCTCAGCGTGACGCTCAGCTCGCAGTGCCAGTGTCTCAAGGCCAATGATTAGCTGGTGCGCGGCATAGGGGCTCAGGCAGGAGCCGACATCGCGGAGCATCTCTATGCGGGCACGCATAATAAATGTGGCTGGACCAAAGCTGGCGGCATAGCTGAGACCGTGGTACGCGGGCGAAGGCTCGACCATTTCGGGAAACTTGGCACCATGCTTGGCCCAGTCAAACCGTCCCGAATCAATGATTACGCCAGCAATTGTAGTACCGTGGCCGCCAATCCACTTGGTAGCTGAGTGGACGACAATGTCCGCGCCATGCTCGATGGGTCGAACAAAGTAGCCGCCAGCACCTAGTGTGTTGTCGACCTATGCCATCACGCATTGTCAGTAGAGTTTTCTCTTTATTTATTTTCTAGTTCAATGCCTATCGTGAGCATAGATTGGTAACTTACAATGAGGGGAATGCCATGGTCATGGGCAATCTTGGCAAGTGCCTCAAAGTCGGGAACAAGGAGATCTGGGTTGCTAATGCTCTCAATGTAAATGGCTTTCGTTTTATCGTCAATAGCCGCGGCAAAATCAGCTGGATTCACGCTTTGGACAAACTTGGTTGTAATGTTGTAGCGGGGAAGGAGGAAGGCAAGTTGGGTGTATGTGCCGCCGTATAAATGTGAACTAGCAACGATGTTGTCGCCAGGTCGGGTCAGACTGGTCAAGGTCAAATATTGCGCGGCCTGGCCCGAAGCGGTTGCCAGGGCAGCAAAGCCACCTTCGAGAGCCGCAATACGCTTCTCAAAAACATCCACGGTAGGCTATTATCTTCTTTTAGCCAGAGCTCATAGTACCTAGCATCAAGAAGAGGCGGTTCACTCACATTGGTCAAGCGACTGTAGATGTTTCCTAACTCCCTAAGACCAAACAGTCTCGCGGCTTGGGCAGAGTCATTGAAAGTGTAACTCTGCAATATTCATCATTAGCTTCCGGAGCACTCAAACACAAAGTAGCCTGATTGACGAACAGAAGTAGCATAGATGGGCACCGCGGTGGACCTGGTAACGGGATCGGGTTCGTATCCAGCGTGAAGCTGGAGAGTTTCAAAGTTTTTCCAGGGAGATGGTTCCATGATGAATCGCTAATTACAGTTCACTCAAAGTTGGTAGTGTTAACAAAATAAAAAATGACAGGATGTACAAAGTCAAATATAATAACAGGACTATTGTAACTACGGTTTTGATATTCTACCTTCCCGACTACTGACTATTCGGAGCCTTGATGACTGCCCCGAAGAGATAGTAAGAAACCTTCCGATAACAAACAGCCTAGCTTCAGTGCATCTTACCCCAAAATGGCGGGTAGTCAACAGTAAAGTCCGGGCATCCATTGCCGGTTGGCTCCACTTTTAGCGACCGGCTGTAAATCTTCGTCTTACATTGCAGCATGCCTAGTACTCATCCAATGCTCTTGATTATCAGTGAGAATACCTTTAGTGAATACTAACAGCCCCTTACGTGACAGATTCTATGTCAAATGTGCATCCTCTGTAAGGCAGGGTGACATTCAAGGGAAAGCTTTATTGAAGGTTTCATTACGCCTTACGCAATCTAAGCAAGAGATGCAAAGCATCTACTATAAGGTAATGCCGCACAACGTGCATATATTTGACTATGTGTTTGTATAATCTATTGCCAAAGTGTTTCAGAAAACCTCAGTAGAATTGTAGAGCATGGTTAGGCAGTTACAGTAAGTAGGAGCTTTCAGTTGCAATGCATCCTACATGGTTGACAACTCGGAGCTTTGGCTTAGCCCCGAATGACGGGAAACCTTCCGATAATGAAGGAATATGTTAAGTGCATCCTACAAGTATAGTAGTCTTTAACGCAACCTTGAATTCCTCAAAATGGTGCATTAGGGAGCTTTTGCAACTTCGAGCGCTTCTTAAATTCCTGTCTCCAGCTTGCTTTTGCTCTTTTTCGCTCTAATTCCTGTGGTCTTATCTTGGCCAAAGAATTAGTCTAACAAGAGCGAACAGGCTACGAGTAGCGCCGGAATTTTTAAAGTGTACATGCCATAGCTTTGGCTGTCAATCTAGTCTAATAATCTTCAATCGCCGCAATGGGTTCAGTGCCTCCATCTCCCGCTTATGGCAAACGACTGATCCCGGTCGAGATTGACAAAATTGCACGAGACGAACCGGATCGGGTGCTCTTCTATCTTCCCCGCAATAACCAGCCTTCACAGGGATACGACGTGGTGACCACAAGCATATTTGCCAATGCCATCAATAGAGTGTGTTGGTGGCTTCAGTCCGAAGTGGGAACAGAGCCCAAGACAATTGGCTACGTTGGACAGAGTATGTTCTAGACATGATTGCAACGAACATTTCTTGCTTACAGAACCGATATTGATACCCTTTGTGTCTTTTTTAGATGACATAAGATACCTGCTTCTGGTCGTGGCGGCCACAAAACTTGGCAATAAGGTTTGATCCCCATCTTGCCAATGCTGCTCCTCCAGCAACTGACGCTCGACAAGGTCCTCCTATCCTCGCCGCGGAATAGTCCCGAAGTACATCTCTCTCTGGTCAAGCAGTCTGACTGCAAGTTCTGGATTACCACACCGGGTGTTCCCAAGTTCGACTTTATTGGGGTGCCGCTAATTCGAATCCCTGAAGTCAATGAACTTCTAGATTCCAAAGCCGTCAAGCCGTATGTATATGACAAGGAATGGCAAGAAGGACGTGATGATACCCTGTGTCTGCTTCACACCACTGGTTCGACCGGCCTGCCGCGACTGATACCGATCACACTGGCGGCCGCATCTTCTGGTGATGCGCTTGGCGGGATGAAGCGCATCCAGGGAAAATTGCCCACTTTGGCGGAGTGGGCGGGCACCAAAATGCTGAACGCATTGCCTTTATTCCATGTAAGTACCTCTACTCGCCCATTTGTAGACTTGGCAATGGGAAAAGCTAGTGGCTGACCGGAAGGTGTTGCTCGTTGTTAGGCTGCTGGACTCAGTTTCAGCTTGTTCTGTGTCATTTTCTTCAGATTCAGTGTCGTCTTTCCGCCTCCAGGGCCGGTCATGCAAAATATGGTCGAAGAAACCCTCGATAACATTGATCTTGATTCTGCCTTTATGACGCCCCTCGTTCTCATAGACATTGCCAACACGCCTCGCATCTTAGACAAACTCGCAAAACTCAAGTTTGTCACATCTTCAGGTGGTCCTGTTCCGCCGCCCGTGGGCAATATTATCAACCCCCGTGTCCCTATCATGCAGACAATGGGTATGACCGAGGGCTTGGTAGTGCCGTCTGTGACTACGCATCCCGATGAGTGGGCGTATTACCATTTCCATCCGGATTGCGGCTTCGAGATGCGACCTTATTCGGATACGTTGTACGAGTTGGTGTTTGTGAGGAGAAAGGAGCTGGCAGCCACTCAGACTATCTTCCTAACGTTCCCCGATCTGGACTTGTACGAAACAAAAGACTTGTACTCACGCCATCCGACATTCCCTGAGCTGTACAAGTACGAGACACGCAAAGATGATCTCGTCGTGATGGCAACAGGAGAAAAATTCAACCCCGCAGCGGCCGAATTCCAGTTGGCTCACCACCCCTGGCTTGCCGCCGTCTACATTGCCGGCCAGGGTCGTTTTCAGACGGCCGCGCTGCTCAATCCGGCACAGGATCAATCGGAGGTGTCCGACGATGAGATTTTGGAAGAGGTCTGGCCAACCATTGAAACTATCAACAAGGCTCTGCCCGCTTTTGCTCAGCTTCATCGCAACTTTATTCGAATTGTTCGCACACCCTTTCCACGCACGCCCAAGGGCACAGTAGCACGCTATGGGATTGATCGGATCTATACCAAGGAGCTTGAAGACATCTACAAAAATTCGGATAACTCGGAGCCTTCAACCTCTTTGCCGGTGGGTACTTTGCAGGTCGATGGGAGTAGCGAGGAAACTATCCGTAACGGTATCCGGGAAGCCATTCAGATTGTGTCGCCGGATTTGGAGCTCGAACTGGTCAAGGATGATGACAACCTTCTCGTACATGGATTTGACTCTCTCCAAGTCACCCGACTTTCGAGACTTCTCAGCTCTTCTATCCAAACTAACCCGGGTATGATATATGCGAATCCTTCCATAACCCAGCTGGCACATGTACTGTGGACGCAGCTGCAGGGCTCCGGACAAGGCCAGCAAGAAACAGATACAGCGGACCTCCTCCGCACCAAGGCTGTAACCCAGACCATTACCAAGCATTTATCGTCTTTCACGTTGTCCCGAGACCCAAAAGAATACATCATCCTCACAGGCACGACAGGAGCTATTGGCTCCTATCTTCTTGATGCTCTGTGCAAGAACAATCGCGTTGCCAAAGTCTGGTGCTTGAACCGCAGCAGCACGGAGGATGCGGTCCGCCGACAAACCGAAATAGCCAAGTCAAAGGGATTGTCTTTGAACTGGAAGGGTAAAGTTCAGTTTGTCCAGATGGATTTGGCATCAGAGTCTCTTGGTCTGAGCCAAGCAGACTTGAAAGAGATTAGAAACCAAGCAACGACTATAATTCGTGAGTTACTACCCTTGTTCCTGCCAATATATCCTTTAAAAAATACTAAACAATGATATTGCTAGATAATGCCTGGGAAGTCAACTTCAATCTCCCTCTGTCCTCTTTTGAGACACAGCTCATCGGGCTCCAAAGCCTGGTCCGTATCTGCACAGAGACTCAGAATAAGATTCGCTTTTTCTTCGTTTCCTCCATCAGCGGCGCCATGAATTGGCCCTCTCACCTCTTGGGTCCTATACCTGAGGCTAAACTAACAAATCTTGATGCCTCCATCAACGGTTACGGCGCCTCCAAGCTTGTAGCTGAGCATCTGCTCGGTAAAGCTGCCCAATCGGGCGCACTGCGTCTCTCGGTCCTGCGCGTAGGTCAAGTTGGAGGACCCGTCGCGACTCGTGGAGAAGGTAGCATATGGACGCGGAGGGATTGGGTGCCAGCGGTACGTTGACTTTGCGCTCTCTTTTTCTATTTGCTCCTCTTATCTTCTAAGTGAGAAAAGAATGTGTACTAATTCATCAAATAGATCATAGACGCATCAGCGTATATCGGCAAGCTGCCTGCGAACTTGGGCGGCGCTACGGCTCTCGACTGGATTCCCATCGATCTGTTGGCCGAGGTCATGAGTCAGCTAATTGATTCAGATGCAACATCAACGGGCGTTAGCCAAGAAGTAGAAACTTATTACAACATCGTCAACCCTCGAACTGTTAGCTGGATTTCACTGCTGCCCACTGTACAGGCCCGTCTGGAGACAGCTCTGTCGCCAAAGAAGGTGCAGGTCGTTCCCTTTTCTCAGTGGCTAGAGGACCTGGAGAAGGCCGAAGACGCGATCGTCAAGGAGGCGGAGAAGAAGAACGGGTCAACTGTTTCTCAGGTTGCGGCAAGCCGAGCGCAGACAGGGCTCAAATTGTTGTCCTTTTTCCGGGCGATGGCAAAATCTTCTGACGATGATGCTGTTGCGGCAGCATCATCCACCCCGAACTGGGCTGTTGGCAATGGCTTGGCACGAAGCTCTGTCTTTGCCCAGTTGACACCTGTGTCTCCCGCCTGGTTCGAGACTTGGCTAGATCAATGGGGCTACTAAGCAAACGAATTCTACACTTTTTTTCTACTCTCTAATCTTATTTAAATACTACTGAGCAGATTTGAATACCAACTTAAACACAAATTTATTGTCTCTAGTAATCTTTCTGTGCAGAGCATCTTACGAGTAAAATATGACCTAGAACGTGGCTGACACCCATTTTTGGCACCTGAGACGCATATGCGTATTGAGGCACTGGTGCACCCATAAAATACAGTTCCTCCATTCTATATACTCTTCTGGGAAACTCTTCTTCTCCATACATCTTTCTTTCTTAGCAGCGAAGCAGTCTAAGCTCAGAAAGGGCTTTTTTACTCTCCCGTGTGGTTATGGTTTGGCTGGTGGTTGAGGCTCGTTAGTGTGCCGCTGGCTACTTTCTGGGTATTGTTGTGCTTACTTTGACGTATGTCAACTGCTTGAACACCTCCTCTCTAGGACCACATGGGGTCTTGACCTCGTGATATGCCGTCTGAGCCGTGTCCTGGATCTCTACCTTTCGCCTACCCTGCCAACTCAATCCTTCTTCCCGTTAATGCCTGTTTCGTAGCTACCGTGTTTTCCCTAACCCTAGTCATTGGGTTGCGATTGGATTACGGTTAGCGTCAAGACGTCTGACAGGATTGCGGGATTGCTGGCTAGAATTGTCACATATCCCAATAAGCTGCAACTGGCACCCTACAGCTCGAGGTGGCACAGATCAATCCACGTGGCTGTAGCGTGATCGACAGGGTCCCCGTCCCTGCGTCAGCTCCTCCGTGTGTCATTCGGAGGGTTGTACAATTCCTGGCTGAACATACGGCCTTTCGGAGACTAACCCTGTAAGATGGCGCACTGGGGAGCTGGAACCAGAACCGCGATGTCCAAAGACAACTGAACAGCTCTACATGATCCGGATGGTCGTACCACACGGGCGTAACAACAGCCTGATCTTCGCCAACCCCTTGTTAGTGGTTAGTTGTTCGATTTACAAGGGTAAATAGCATATCAGATTATAAGCGTCTTTCCCAAAATGCCACTAGCAACTTCTTTCAATGTCGTTTCCAAGTGTATATTAAATTTATGGAAATACTACTGTTTGCCAGAAATTGTGTCGTATTCTTTAAAAAAAAAAAGGTTATTATTGTAATAGTTTATACTATATTTGATTCAACTGCGAACGTTTTATTATACTTGATTAGCTTATATATAAGTAAGTTTTGTACTTAGTACCGGCTTTTGTAGTAAGCCTAGAGCAACCGGGTTTTTCTCGTCAGCTTGCAGGGTAGGCTGCAGTTGAACTTTCTTGCATGTGTACATTACAAGCAGATCTTGAGAGAAACTGGTAAGAAGGACAGAATAACAACAAAGAAAAGCCATCCCCTGTTGTTCCAACCCATATACCTTGTAGGCCCAAAATGTTGCAGTTCACAAGGATTAGCGTCGATCAGGTTATTTGTAGACTGGTAACATACCACCTACCTGCCGAATGTATCCGATGCAAAGTATCCGATACAAAGCCGAAAGGAGCATATCCAGCACAAGATGACTGTAATGGTCTCATGTTGGATAGGCGGTTCCTTCTGAGCACACGCAGTGGAATAGACTGATTACAGGGTAAAATTATCCGATTGGATGAGCTTCCAGATAGGCTTGGAGTGGGCGCTGCCGCAGGACACAGACGTTGGATTCTCCATAACAAGCCTCATTCATGTTGCGTCAGTGCCCTAATATAAGAGAAGCCCAGTTGAATGAAGGAAGTTGTCAGTTTTCCAATCGTTAGCCTTGAAGCAATATCCGCAGTCTGCACATCACAAGTTTAGCTATCGCAAAGAAGAGACACATCCACGAAAACATGTCTTCCAATAACCAACACCAGCAGATTGCCTGTATCCAAGACCTCAAGAAGGCAGGATCCGAGAAATTGTCACAGTCTTATCAAGGTGAGTCTAAAGTTTCTCACTAGGATGCGTCTACGTAGCGAGACTAATGCTGGGCAAACACAGACTACTACAATGGCGGCGCAATGGACGAATTGACGTGCGTAATAATTTTGTCTTTGACCTGTTCTCCTCAACAGACGGTAACTTTATTATGGATTGGGTTTTCTAAACATGATTGACTGTAGGCTTGATTGGAATGAAACCGCATTCAACAAATACCTTCTACGGCCGCGAGTCCTGCGCAATGTCGAGAACATCGATATGAGCACCACGTTGTGGGGCAAAAAGGCCGCAATGCCCTTTGGCTTCGCTCCAAGTGCTATGCATCGACTCATCCATGCAGATGGTGAGATTGGTACATCCAAGGCCGCAGCTGCCCGCAACGTGCCCATGGTCCTGTCACTCCTGTCCAATGACTCTCTGGAAGATGTAGCGGCCCAGCGAACCGACGGCGCTACGCCGTATGGCATTCACATCAGCCCGCTGAATAAGCGCGAAGTCTTGAGCAACCTCCTCGTCCGAGCCAAAGGTAAGCCCCACGCTCTAATCGAATGCCTGCAGACTGCAGTGCTAACAACTCGGCGTCTAGCTGCCGGATACAATGCCGTTATCTTGACCGTGGACGCCCCCATGTATGGCCGACGTCTGGCGGATGAGCGTAATAACTGGAGTATCATTCCACCAGGCGCGACTTTCCCCAACGTTGTCGCACAGCATGTGAAGCCAAGTGAGATTTCCGTCAGTAAGTATTATGTAACCCGTGCATTTGTTCAAAGCACCTTTCTCATGAATCAATTTTAGGTGCATCGGAAACTTGGGAAGAATACATTCCATGGATTCGAAGCCAGACAGATCTCGAGCTCTGGGTGAAAGGAGGTTAGTTCCGCTCTGCAAATCCGCGTTCACCCTAACCGTGACTATTATCATACGTACTGACCGAATCATAATTTGGCTGCAGTCACCTCCAAGGAAGATGTTGAAAATGCCATCAAGCATGGCGTAGATGGCATCATCATCTCCAATCATGGTGGTAGGCAGCTCGACCCCCCCCCTGCCACTATCGACATTCTTCGAGAGGTTGCACCGGTCGCCAAGGGCAAGATCCCTCTAGCCTTGGATGGCGGCGTTTACCGTGGCTCGGATATTTTCAAGGCTATCGCTCTCGGAGCGTCCTTTGTTTTTGGTGGAAGAATTGCCATCTGGGGCTTAGCTGTAAGGCCCTTCATTACCCCCCCCCCACCCCCCTCTGCACGAGAAACGATATGACTCGATTCTCATCTAAAGTCTTTTTCTTGATCTAATTTTTCTCGATTAGTACAACGGCTCTGAGGGCGTTGGCCTAGGCCTGGATATCATCATGAAGGAGTTCAAAATCTGCATGGGCCTGACTGGATGTACCAAGGTCTCAGACATCGGCCCCCATCATCTGTCCATTTTGCAAAGCAATGGGCTCCTTGGAAGTGTGTACTAGATAAATCTGATGTATGAGTACAATATTTGCCTTTCGTGATAGAAGGAGATCAGTTTGAATAGAATTACCTAGCCATGCGCATTTCTCATAATGAACATACCATCTTTACGATAAAACTTGATCACTGTGAGAAAGTAAAGAGCAACCAAAGTAATTGCTGCAATGGACTGGAATGTATTATTGCTACAACTAAATAATGGTCTGTGCTTCTATTCCACTCGCTCTTGAGAGCCCATGTCAACATCAAATAGAGAATTCCAAGTACCCGGCCTCCAATCATCCAAGAAATCGAGTCCTAGGAAATCGCCATAGAGCGATAGATTGCTCTCACCCTGCTCAAATTGAGACGGAAGTATGTTGACTTGCGTGTTCAGCGAATTATAAGCATCCACCATGCTGTTGTCTTGTGACTGCGGCTGTGCTGGTATTGGACCCAAAATGTTGGGCTGAACCGGGTACAGATTTTTCTTGGCCAGAATTTCCTCAAACACCGGTAGCGCTCTTTTCAAGGCGGGTATTTCTTTTCCCTGGGTGAGCACAAGCATTGTCTGACTGATGGATATCCGAGCCATGGAACGGACGAGGTCTGTCTCGGCTGGATCGAGGGCTGACTCGATGTGCAGAGCAAGGAGCGCAGTTATTGTGGTTATACTAGCAACGCTCTTCTTAGTCTAATGAGCTCTTTATAAAGCCTGTCCAAAAGCGGCAAAACGAGAAGAAATGGATGGCACTTACAAAGGCATGGGAAAGTCCTGGAGAGTACCACTCGCTAACACTCTCATGGAAATCATGTCCAGCTCCAGAATACCAGACCGGAGCCGTTCGTTGGCCCACTCGCTCCAGTCTGCGTGCTGAGTCTGCTGCAAACGGTGTCGTATCAGACGACACAAGATGCATTCAAATCTGTAGCTCATGGCTTGTATATCCAGATAATACACGTCGTTTCCTGCATTCCCACCCACGTGCATTTTGGTAGCGAGAGACTTGCGCCAAGTATCTAGTGGGTTCATCATGTGGCGAGGATCTTGTTGTGGCTTGTTTATCACAGTGGACAGACACTGCCCGACTAGATGGAGTTAGTTATGCTTGTAGTATAAGTGCAGATTGAAGATGAATGGGAAACAAGGTTGAAAGATCAAAGGGTCGAGGAGAACCAACACGCACATATTCGAGACAGCTCACACAGGGCAACAGGCAAGGCCTTTTGCTGAGGCGTCACCGCCGACAACAAGGCAGATGATGCTCCTGAGACATCTTCAGTTTCCCAGTCGTCTTCCGTCCTCGGCTTAATCGCAGAGGTGTTTTCAAGTAGTCGCGAGCGTCTAGTATTGACGAGGACATTGAAAATGTCTAAAAACTACGATTCCATAGTAAGCATAGAGTAAAGAGAGAGAAAATATACAGCAACCAGAAGAGGGACGTACGTAGAGAGTCCACCAGATCCTTCTGTACAACTTTATAATCTTACGGGGCTTGTCTTCTCGAATGCACCTGTCAGAGAGTTAATAGGCAGTTAGTATAAGCGATCACTACCACAGGAGTCATAGTCTAGGAGTAGTAAACGCACGTATCGCGTAGGTCGAGCTTAGTGGCAAGACGAATCGCATTATGGAACCAGTAACTGAAGTCTCGATCAGTGGGATGGTCGAGAATCACCATGCACAAGATGATGGATCCCTGAAGCATCAGCAACGGATCATCTTCGGCAGCCAAGTCGTGGAGTAGCTTGGCCTTGGAGAAGAACGACTCTTGCGCAGCCGAACGGCTTTCAAAGCCGCAGGCGGATAGCACCTCTAGCGGCACATGGAGACTGGCTGGTGTCAATATGACGTGGAGCAAGAACAGAGAGCAGTCGCCAGATTGATAGCTCCGAATGAAGTCAGCCCTGTTAATCACAGGTGCAAAAGTGCAGACGTGGTCAAAGTAAGTTTTAACGAGTGCATCCCTGTTTATAGCCTGTTAGTAAGGTGAAGACGGAGACTTTGAGAGGGTAGAGGGTGGGGGATTATAGATTGCCCTACAAGTGCTGCGGAGAAGGCAGGTCAAAGACACCCTTCTTAGCAAGATATTCATTGTCAATGTCGTCTAGTTGAGGTAGTTTGGTCCATAGGCAGTTCCGAGGAGTAAAGCTCTCATCTGGCCTTGAACGATAGGGGGTATTGGAAGTGGTGTGATGTTGACTTGATTCTGTAGTTTCTTTCACAGCATCATTCAAGATATTAAGATAGAGCAGGTCTGCCTCAGTCTGAGGTGGGTTTTGGCACTCCGAACGATCGGAAGTTGAAGACTGTCGTGATTGTCTCGAGTGATTAGACTGGTTATGGCTGTCTAACTGGCTACTGTGAGACGCAGCCGGGGAGAGTCTGGTCTGACAGTAGATTAGTGGGGATTCTCAAGGATCACTGAAGGAGCAGAAAAAAAGGGTCATAAGAAAAGCAATAACTAAGAGAGTTCCGAGCATACTTGAACACTGCCTGGAGCCGGTAAAGCGTGTGTTGCCTTCCTATGAGCCCCATCAATGTTAGCACGCACTCGATGAATCAGGGACCGTGAACCATCCTAGCAGTAAACTACTCACCTAGACCGTCCCTTGCGGACATGAAGTACACAGTCCTTGGCACACTGCCTGCTGGTGCAGCTGCTACAGGGGAGGCCAATTACAGTGGCATCGCACTTGACCTTGCGTACACGGCAGGGCAGGCATGACTTGTTGGCTTTGGGGGCACGTTTCCCCCTTTGCGGCTCGCGACCTGAAGCGTTCATTAAAGGCGAAGAGCTGCGTTTGTCGGTGGGGTGGAAATTAGGGCTCAAGTGGCTGCGTGAGGGCGTTTTGGACCGGATTGATCGCGGCATGGTGAGTGCAGCCTGGCTCGGAGTTTGCAAATTCCCGAGTTAGCTAGGCCTGTTGCTGAGGTCACGTGAGTAATACTATTGCGTCCGCATTTGTTCAGCGTTGCATACAGAGTACTCTTGCTTCTCAGAGATCAGTCGATCATTACATTTTATGCCTCGCAATGTCTACTAATCACTCAATAAAATGGTTCTCTATACAATGGCTTTATAGGTGTTTACAGTAGTGGAGTCTTGACCCACCTCCGCCGCCAAGAAAGCTCTTAAAGTAAACTTTAGCACTTCCCTCCTAGGTAGGTACAATATATTTAAATAAGTAAATATTACTACGAAAGCACTAGTATATCCAAAAATAGAAGGAATAGGTTATAACAATGAGACTAAAAATATTCAAGTTGAACATAGTATTTAAACACAAATTACTTCGACTAAACATATTGCTAAATGGACTTGAAAGAGTATGAAATATTTGAAGATTGATTGGTCTCAGGTACCTAGGTGAGGCCAGAGGAATACGGCCAGGCTCAAGTAATAGATTACAAAAGTCCAGCACAAACGCAAACCAGCTAACAGCATCGATAAAATAAGACTCGGTTGAAGTAGGCACAAACAACATAGCTTCACGAGCTGCCTCCTGTTTTGTTCCACGCGATCTGATCTTCCAGTTGACTCATACCGCTCGATGTCGCTCGTGCTGCCCTCTTCGATCAACCTTTGCGCTGCTTGCGAAGATGAGTGGCCATTTCATAGGTAGGCAACATTCTCAATACTTCAATGTTGTATGGTTTCTCAAACATATGTTGCTTCTTTGTATCTCCGAACACTTGAATGGAATTACGTCGCGAATCAATTCACGCTAATGTCCAATAAGTGCTGGCAAGAGATACACATGGAATTGAAAGCCTCTACTAGATTGTGCACTATAAGAGAGAGACGTTATATTGCATGATGAGGCGGCAGTGAAAGCAACCGTAGACAACGAAGACAGCGGTTGCAACAGCAGAGCACCGACTAGCCAAATGAAACTAAGCCCGAAGTTCTAAAAAAAGTAAGGATCGAGACCCAGCAGCGAGACCTAGCAATAAGACTTAGCAGCGAGGCTAGAAGAGATGCTGATGCGATAAGCTGCGCTTCAACTGGCTTGACATGGAAGGATTTGAGGCTTTGCATTGGGATACACAACGAGATCCTAAGGAAAACGCACGTAGAGGAGCCCGTATTTGGAAAAGACCGCATACCCAAGCTTGTCAGGGCAAAGAAGATGGCGAAACTAGATCAAAAGCTAGCCTCAAACCCGCAGTACTAGCAAGCCTCAAGCCTTGAGCTTTGATAGGAGAAAGCAGTCATTCTGTGCGGCATGGGCGGCCCTGGTCCTAGCCACGAGCCTTTCTGTTGTAGTTGATCCTTGTTGTTGGAATGCCAGAACGAAGCTCCGAGTGGGCCTCCGAAGTTCCGATTGGATCACTGAAGCTCCGATTGGACAACTGAAGCTCTCGTTTAGCGCTAGCAATAATGCTACATCAGCACATGTTGCGGAGAGGCCCACTGGCGAATGTTTTCCGGGAATACGATAATAGAAGGATTCTTAACCAGGAAATGTCAGCTTACCCGAAAGCAATAATGAATACACAGCGTTTCATCATGATCCGATTACAATTTGGCTGGGTCACAACGTCTATAGAGAACACATGCGGAGGTCTCCACATTTACATGTAGATACACGTGAATTAGGCTGGTGGGTTAATATAGAATCGCTAGTTTTCAAGGTTTATCATTGATTATCTCCACCAAGGTTGGCTGCAAAAGACATGGCTATTTGAGACATGGGTATGCCCTGGCCAGACAGTGCAAGTTGTTGTTAGCTGAAATAAATCAGTATAGAGACAGATATGCGTACTTTGTAGGTTCAAGTTTCAGTGGAAATAAAACTAGTGTCAATAAGTACTCTCTAAAAGTGAATATACAATTGGCTGAGTTCTAGAGTACAGTTCTTTGAAAGTGCATATGCGCAGCTGAAGCCATTGCATTTGCGGCAGGCCATAGAACATATTGTGTCAGTACAGTAATAATAAAACTGTCCGGATGAGCATAGAGAGCGACTCCAATAAGCGTGTCTTTTGCAGCCAACAACCCTCAGCCCTTCGGATGTATCCTTCAGATTGATTAAACCTCCCGAGAGCCTGTGGAGACGCTCCGATAGCGATGTCGCGATTGTGTAAGACTCAAGGTCTGTTATGTGAGATGTTTGTTTGGAATCAGTCGAGATGACAAGGGGACAGGATCCTATGTTACATACGATTGACATATATAGCAATAGCGACTCACGCTTGAAGACATTTGAAGAAAGACAACCGGCATGGAATGAGTTTCCCATGATACATTGATCCATTCTTAAGAAACAATTACATTCATTTCGCTTTCTTGTATACCCAACAAGCAAACATCATGGCACCTTCCATCGACTCCGTTGACGCCAACAATGGCTTTGGTGATCAAGACTTCTCCAGTCTGTCATCTGACATTGCCATCATTGGCGTCTCTGGGCGTTTTCCCGGCGATGCATCTTCCCCCAGGAATCTATGGGATATGGTCGTGGACGGAAGAAACGCCAGGGAGCCCGTTCCCAAAAGCCGGTTCAACCCAGACGGCTTCTGGCACAAAGACCCGAGCCGGATTGGAACAATTGGCGGTATCAAGCAAGGTCACTTTGTGAAGCAAGATATCCGCCAGTTCGACGCCGGTTTCTTCTCAATTACACCGGAAGAAGCCAAGGCAATGGACCCACTGCAGCGTATTCTCTTAGAGACGGCTTACGAAAGTCTCGAGAATGGTAAGCAATGGAGAGGTTCACTACGGAGTACAGAAGACAGGTTTGCTAACAATTTTCAGCCGGTCTCACAATTGACCAAGTCGCCGACCAGCCCATCGGTTGCTTCGTCGGTGGCGGTCAGAGCCACGACTACTGGGATCTCCAAGCCTTGGATCTGGATGCTATCCCAAAATACTCGGCCACAGGTTTGGGAACCTCCATTTTGTCGAACCGTGTCTCGTGGTTTTTCAACTTCAGAGGTCCAAGCATGACCATTGACACAGCATGCTCATCCTCGATGACTGCGATGCATATGGCCTGCCAGAGCATTAGAAGCGGAGAAATCACTTCGGTAAGCCTTCCGACTTATTCTTTCTCAGCAATGAACTAATCAAAGTATCTAGTCTTTGGTTGGAGGCTTCAACTTGCGACTTCTGCCAGTCTTCGACATCTTCGCCACCCCCATGTCTTTCCTCAGCAAAGACGACAAGTGCCATTCATTTGACACGTCAGCCAACGGATACGCTCGTGGTGAAGGCGGTGGCTTCATTGTTTTGAAGCGAATGGATCTGGCTCTCCGTGATGGCGACACCATCCGCGCCGTCGTCCGCGCCACCGGAGCCAACCAGGATGGCCGGACTCTTGGTCTCACACAGCCATCCGCAGCCAGACAAGCGGATCTGATCCGCCAGACATATGAATCTGCGGGGCTGTCCTTGAGCGAGACCAACTACTTTGAGGCTCACGGCACGGGCACCGCGGCCGGCGACCCCGTCGAATGCTCGGCCATTGGTGCCGCCTTCAGCTCGACTCGAGATCGCCCGTTGTACGTGGGATCCGTGAAGAGCAACGTGGGACATCTGGAGAGTTGCAGTGGTATTGTAGGCATGGTTAAGGCCGTTTACAGTCTCGAAAGTGGCTGGATGGCTCCAACCCACGGCCTGAAGAATATCAACCCCAAGATCAAGCTGGCTGAGTGGAAGATTGAAATTCCCACGGTCGCGACTCGCTGGCCTGCTGGCCTTCGCCGTATCAGTATCAACAACTTTGGCTATGGTGGTGCCAATGCTCACGTGGTGATGGACGATGCGTACCACTATCTGAAGAAACACAATGTAAAGGCCCCACACAACACCACCGTGGAAGAACTCTCAACCAAGACCATCGACGGTCCTGCAACGACAGCAGAAGTCCCTACTTCGCGTCTCTTCCTTCTCTCTTCTCACGAGGAGAGCGGTATCACTCGCCTCAGCGAAACCCTGCAAAGTTACCTCAGCGACGTCGACGCGAAGAATGGATCCGAGGAGCAGAACCGTTTGCTGCACCGCCTGGCCTATACACTCTCTGAGAAGAGGTCAAACCTTCCTTGGAAAACGTTTGCCGCCGCCTCAACCATCGAGCAGCTTCAGCAAGCGCTGGATGGCGCACGATCCCAAGCCACCCGTAGCCCGACCAAGGCTCGGCCGCTCACCTTCATCTTCACCGGCCAGGGCGCACAGTGGTATGGCATGGGCCGCTCTCTGCAGAAATACCCCGTCTTCCAGAAGTCTCTGGAGCAGTCAAACGCCTACCTCAAGTCTTTCGGCTGCACTTGGGATCTCCTCGTAGAGCTGAACCGCAGTGCCGAGGAATCCAAGATCGATCTCCCAGATATCAGCCAGGCAGCATGCACGGCGCTGCAGCTCGGTGTCGTCGATCTCCTGGCTAGCTGGGGCATCCGCCCACAGGTCGTGATTGGCCACTCCAGTGGTGAGATTGCGGCCGGCTACTCAAAGGGTGCCTTCGACAAGGCAGCTGGTATGCGCATTGCCTATTTCCGAGGTCTCCTCACCAGCCAGCTCACCAAGAATGGCGCCATGGCTGCCGTCGGCCTGGGTCCGGAAGCGGCCCAGAAGTACATCGACCGTGTCACCGCAGGCAAGGTCGTCATTGCTTGTATCAACAGCCCGGAGAGCACCACATTGTCTGGAGATGTGGAGGGCGTCGACGAGGTGATGCAGTTCCTGCAGGCGGACGATGTCTTTGCCCGCAAGCTTCGCGTGTTGACTGCGTACCACTCCCACCACATGCAGCTCATCGCTAAAGACTACCTGGCCGGCATGGAGCAAGGCGCATGGAAGCCCCAGTCGGGCCACAAGGATGTCACCATGGTCTCGTCGGTCAAGGGCAAGGTTATCGACGGTACTGAGCTTGT